GGCCCCGCCTGCCACAGGAGCAGTGGTGGCTGAACCTGCGCCTGATGCTGAAGATGCTGGCCAACTACCAGATCAGCCTGACCGAGTATATCTCTGGGAAGATGGAGCACGTCACCCGGCGCACCCTCAGCATTGAGAAGGGGTTCTAGAGCTGCCCACCCAGCCATGAGAGCTGTGTAGTGCCCCCTTCCCCTAGCCCCTCCAATGCCGAGTGCAATGCTAGCTGAATGCCAGTCCCTGGGTACCACAAGTGGGGGCTTCTGGATGCTCAAGCCAAGCCTGGTGCCACCGTGAGCCAGTGGTGGCAGTGACAGATTTCCTGGGTCCAGGGAAATTTCAGCCCTCTTCCAAGAGGAGCTGACATTCCCCTCTTGTTCATGCTGCCTGTGGGATGGCTCCATGACCTGTCCCTTCCCCTAGTAACTGCTGGGAACCTGGGCTCAAGGGATAGCTGCCTGCCAACCAAGTCCTGTGTTTTCAGTGACTTGTGATATGGGGCCTGGCTGAAGGTGCCTTGGAAGGGCCTGATTCTCAGACAGCTCAGAGGAGCCATGTTCTGTTGCAAAGCAGGCCCCTTTTGGGTGTCTCCAGCTCCAATTCCAGAATCACAGGTCCCATCGGAGTTGCAGGGAGGTTGGGGAGTGGTTCTCTTGGTCCCATCTGGGCAGGGCAGAGCCTCTGTCTCACACCCTATCATTTTATTCTTCCTATTTAATGGTTTCAGTGCCTGGATTCAGTATCTAGCGACACAGTTATGTGGACAAATGTCCTGATTTTAGTTCCTTTGCCCCCAGTGAACTTGAAGCATAGAAAGATGCAGAGTTGAGGACAGGGTGCTGGTAGGGGCATTTCCCAGGGGCTCGCTACTGCCACCACTTGATCACTCAATAAAGTTTCCTTCTGTTCTTCCCAATGTGGCATGCACGTGTCACATGCATGTTGCCTCCCAGCCCCTCTTCTGCTGGGACACTGCCAAACTGCATCACCCAGGATGCTGGGATAACGAGCACTACCCCCTAGAACAGCATCCAGGAAGCCCTTGGGAGATGCACTTGGCTTCGCTTGCTGCCTGCATGCTTGAGGTGGCCTCTTGTTTTGGCCCTTTGCACAAACGGAGGGGCCTGGCTCCATCCAGCCGCTTGCAGATGTTGTTTCTCCTGAGCCACCAAAGTGGCACGACCGCTCTTGTCTTCGTGTAGTCACTGCTGCCGCGTCTGCAAGCTGGCAACCCCTATGTCTCAGCAAAACCGTAGCTGGTTGTGCCGTGTCCAAGTGCTCTGTGAAATCTGTGTCTTGTACTGTCTGTGGCACTGCTCCTGTCTCCTAGAGATAAAACCCGCTGAACCCAAATCCGTGTCTCTGGGAAATGGTGATTGCGCCCTTTGCTTGAGAGGCAAGGCATCTGCCCACACAGGCCAGGGGCAGCTGTCAGGGCAGGGGCTGAGTGCCATGCTGGTAACTGACTTTTCCATGTTGATGAAGGGGGGAGGAGGGGACAAGAAGAACTGGGTGTCATTGAGGTGAGCAAGCTACTTCAGGAGAATGCCTAGAAAGTAGTGAAGTATAAATCCCAGGCAAAGGTGTGCAACTTGGATAAGGCTCAGTGCTGCAGCCAGAGGCTGGGAGACCACACTGCCCCTCACCTCACCTCTGGCAGCTGCTTGTCCCTATCCATCCACTTTAAGTCCCTTTTGCAGCACTCCCTGAGTTCAGGGGGAAGGGGGATGCTGCCCCAGCTGTTGTGGCAGGAGGGGAGAAATGAGATCTGCCAGGCAAATGTAGCTGGGGCAGAAAAGAACACAAGGCCTCATGGTGATGGGGAGGAAGACCTCCAGGCCTGAGTACAGGGACAGCTACAGCCTCCTAGGAGCAACCAAGCTAACACCTGGAGCACAGGGTGAGGTCAGTGAAATTCACGCAGGAGGCAATGAGAAATAGCAGCTAGTTGCTGCAGCTTCAGCTGTGGAGTGGAAGGGGGGAAGTTCAAGGATGTGACCCTAAAAATATATGACTGTCTCACCTGGTCTAGAGGGAGAGAAATTATGGAGGGCAGTGCCAGGCCTCCTTGGAGATGTAAGATGGGATTAAGTGAGTACGGAGGCTGTACATGCCTACACTCAGTGTTTTGGAAACCCAGTGACGTCCCATGGGAAGTGGTGCTGCCATCTCACCCAGGCATGGACTTCACACTGTTTTCTAGCTTGTGCGATTCTGTGGGTAGGGAGCAGCTGGAGCTACTATCAGAGAAGAAAGCAATGCTTGGGTTCCCCTAGCTTGGAACAAGCCCAGCTGCAGAAGCAAAGCTCCTGCTTGCCTTGCACCCCCTGGTAGTGAAATAAAACGGAGAAGAAACCCCCAAGACCTGATGCTGATGCAGGAGTGTTTCTGGGTCACGTCAGTCACAGACACATCTGGGAAATGGGGGCCTCGTCCCAGCTCTGCCACTGAGCAGCCTACAGCCCTGGCAAGTCCCCCCTTGCCTCTTGTCTCGCTTCCCACCGTGTTGTCAGTCTGTCCATCCGTCAACAGAAGATGGAAAAAGTATGCAAAAAATGCATTGTGACAAAAAGACTTGCCGGGACCAGCTGCCGCCTCCTCTCCCCACTGCCCCCAGCTATAGAAAAGGAAAGTACAACTTGATATGGAAACTCAGCAGCCACCTGCCCCAGGAGTACTGCTGTGACCTGAAAAGTGATGGGACCCTAATGCACTGGGCCCTCATCATGGATAGTCTTTGTGGGAGGGGTGCAGAAGCCAGGCTGATGGGCAGCCATATACAGGGCTGAGCTAGACAGTGGTACCCCAGCCACCCTCCAGTCCCCAAAGAGCCATCCAGGTAGCGCCATGGCTAGAAGGCCGGTGCTAGCCCCCTGGTAGTTGCAGAGGTGGGCTGCAAGGGTGGCTATATCGGGAGGCTGAGGAAGTCGACAGACACCTACTCCGCAGCGTACCCCCGGTGCCAGGGGAGCCATGCAGAGACACAGGGCACTTCAGCAGATGCTGCCACACAGGAAGCAGCAGTGGTGCCTTAAGGCTTCACTCAGAGGTAGACATAATTAACACATTTCCCATTACAATTTTATATCCTGTAAAACACATCCCCATGCTCAGAGGACCAGGTGCCTCCAGGGGGGCCACAGCTGAGAGCCTTGAGGATCATGATGGAGCATCAGCCTATTTCACACTAACATCCACCTCCACTCAACCACCCAGGCTTGTCCCTGCATGGGCGTCACAGCTGCTGAGTTCAGGCTTGTGAGTTCCTAACTCTGCTTGACAAGCACATGTGTGTGCACTTCCTCTCGCCTCCCCTGAGAGCCACAGTGACAGGCCGATGGATGACACAAGGCCTGTTTCAATGAGCATGCCGCCAGCTGCACATCTGCAAGTGCTTTGGGATGCCACTGGCGCACGCTGTGAGCAGGCTGGGTAAGGCCTAGCCAGGCGAACATGTCAGTCAGCACAGTTCCCTACTGCCAAACACGTGCAGGAAGCTGGTTGGCTGGGCTTCTACCCCCCCCCCCCCCCCCCCCCCCCCCCGCGGCACCAC